GGTCATTCTGGCTTAGTGATGACAGCCAGGCCTTACCACAGCAAACAAATTAATCTTTGCAAAGGTCGACATTAGTTTTAGATATATTTTACACGCTTTTTTCCCAATATGTTTTTGGGAATCTATACCTGACATGAGAAACCAAGGCCAAGACCATCACTCTGATATAGGAGAGATGGAAGTGCTGGCTGCAGAAAGCAGAAAACAGCAGATTGTAGCACATCAGCATTCTTGTAAAGAAACAGGCTCCTGATTGCTGTGCTATGGGCTACTGGTTTACAGCTGTCTCAGGACAGAAGTGGGTACCTGCTCCAGCATGCCAATAAGACAGCCGTAGCTTCCCCAACTGCTACCCACTGGCTCTCTGCCTGCTGCATCCTCCTGCAGCTCAGACCAGCTCATCTTCGCTCTGTACCCATGCCAGGGGATGAGCTTTGGCATTTTAGCAATTTTACAAAAGGTGCCACCTTTTCCCAAACCCATCTGAAGCAGATGTGTGCCTTTGAGGGGAGATTCTCTCAGCACCTGGCTACTACCTGTGGTCTGTCAGAGAACTCAGTGGTCTGAGGAAAATGAAGGAAAGGACATTAGGTGACAAGTCTGGAAGAGCAGTAGCATAAACTTTGTTTTATGAGATGTTCTCTAGCCATGAATGAATAAGTTAAGGTTAGTTTAAATGATTTTTTTTTTAATTAGGCCATTATCTTTACTTTTAATATAATTAGTGTGCATTAAAAGATATAAATTTAGTGGGACACAATTACATCATAGTATTTTAAGATTAATGTGTAATTTTGGTTACTTTAAGATTAATTGCTGCAGGAAGTGGGATAGAGGATAGTTTACAACTTTGGCAGTGCTAGTTTTGTAGATACTATAAATTCCTAATGAACTCAGAAAATCTGTCATTTGTAATCATCTGTTCTCTCTTTCACACATATTCTCATAGAAAGTTTTTTTTCTGACGTCATCAAGCTGGCATGAGTCTAATTGATGGTTGATTAGCACTTATACTAACAAAATAAAAACCTAGCTGCTAAAAACATTTAATTTAGACATGGTCAAGCTCTCAATTTCAAATTGTTGTTTGATTTAACTAGTGCTGGACTTCTGTTGCTGTGGGCAGCAACATTTCAGGGCCAGAGCAGGAAATACTCAACCAAATCTGATCTTATATCATGTTCTGTTCAGACAAAACATCACAGAATAATCACTGGTCCTGTGATGAATCTTGAAGCCATTGAGCCAAGGGGCCGTCACACTCTGACGAAACCTGAAAAGAACACGGTGACAGGTACTTTAAGCAGACATTTCACCTTCTCACCACATCTACAGTACCTGACCTCTGTTACACTCTATACAAATGTGTGGAAGTGATTGATTGTGTGTTACAGTTTGTTGTTTGTTTGCTGTTGTGACACTTTGATCAGGGCACTACTTCATGTTTACTGACAAACTGCTAACTGCAATTTACATCATTTATTATTTAGATTTTTAATATTAATGTAGCATTCTGTCTTCCCTATTATTACCTAGTATTTTTAATCGTTCTTGTCTGATATTTTCAAGAACAAGAACAAATATGATGTTTTAAAAGCTGGGTTTTTTATTGTGGTTTTCTTTTTTTTTGTGGCAGATACGAGTTGGCTTCATATGTCAATCCAACACAAAGCTGCTTCTCTTCACCCTAGAGAGGATTCATACTCTTTTAAGATAGGTCAGTGCTTCTCCAAAGGTTCTACAGAAGATATTACATTTTACCTGATTCTGTCTTCAAGTTAATTGTTTTTGTTTTGTTTTTGACTGATTCATGTGGTTTTTAATGTCTTGGTCAGCAGAAAGAAAGGTTATGCCCTTGGAAATACTGAACCTTTAAGAAGGTTGCCATGGGAGCATCTGGTGGCCTAATGGTTAAAGCACATGTTTCTTGTCTCTAGTTTTCTGTCTCTCTCTAACTGTCAACCTTCCAAAAATGTATTGTTAAAAAAAGGAACTTGCCATGGAAACCCAATAATAAATCATCTGCCAGACACTGGCAGTCCTGTGCGTTGTGAGGGCCTATTGCTACAGAACTAGGAATTGTGCGCTTTGTCTTCTGTTTTCTTTCACTTTTGCCATACCTCTCAATGTTTTGATTGTCTTTTGGTTTAAACTCATTACTGACTCTGTTGAAGTAGGGACAGCTGCCACTTGAGTTGACAGTGCTGACTGCTTGCCACTGATTAACCACTGATAGAGTACAGTTGAACCCATCTGTTTATGACTTTAGGTCACCTGAAGTCCAGGTTTCATAAGCAGCTGAAATGGAGAACAGAACCTAGATCCACCTGCAACATAACAGGCAGGGAATACACACCTCTCTGGACCACCAAGACACCACCTCCCTCTGCAGCCTCAAAGAGCATGGATCACCAGAGTATGATGCAAGGCAGCACTGGTCTTATTCTTAAAAATCCTCAGGTATGAACAATATTTCAATTCCTTTAACTGTTTTATCAAAGTCTAGGTTGCCTCTCACCAGTTTCATTGTATTCAATAGAATCTACCAGTGCAAATTCCTGGAAGTTTCAGAAAACACACCTTTACCATCATAAACGGAAAGATCAACCCAGTGGCGGTAGATTTCTGTCACTTCAAGCAGAGCTTTAGCTTGTGCTGGAGCAGTGTGGTATATGCTCTGGAGGCCCTGGAAAAGCTGCTCCGGGAGTTTGCTGTGCCTCTAGCCAAAGTGAGAGGGGAACAGCTGGTGGAGTTTGGCCATGCTTGGGATAATGGCTGGAACAAGGCTCCTCCAGTTATTGACCTCCTCTCAGTACTTGAAAACTGGGAGGAGGTATTGAATCTGGTGTCACGCCCAGGCCAGCGCTACAAGGGAGAGGGAGGCATTGAGGCAGCTGCCATCCACATCCAGTCCTGCTGGAGGCGCTATGTAGCTCGGACAGCCTACCTGTGCCACTACCGGCGCAAGTGGGCAGCAGGGATTATCGCCATCTCATGGTTGATGCACACTCAGGTGCAGCGTGTCAGGAAGGCCCTGCAGGCCCGGCGTTTTAGACAACTGGAGAATTTTCGCAGTAGAGCCCAGGTGATATTCCTTATATCAAAATGCTGTTTGCACTCTCTTATATAATATTGCTCTATTCTCTTTTGTCTGTTTGTCTGTGGAGTCAGATTTATTTATGATGTCTGAATTAAATTAGATGACAAATCCTATTTGGATGTACATTATACCATCTGATTTTATTAAGTTATCTGCATAATCTTTAAATGTTTCTTTTTCTTATGTAATGTACCCTAAGATTTAATTATAACAGTTTGATTCTGTGGAAATACAGGTCTGTTACAGTCTGTAAAATACAGTTTAGGCTAAAAAGGAAATTATGGTTCTACTGTATTTTTTACCTCCATTACTCAAAAGTTCTATTTCCCATTCAGTCATAAACATCAGTGTTTTATGGGGGACTACTGTTCTGACTAACATCTCAGAGGCACTAAGAGTCTGTACTGCCATCTACAACCACCAGTCAGTGATTTTAAAAATAAGGACAGAAGTGGGGCAATGCCATGCAAGTATTCATGCAGTGTCATTAATCACTGTGTGCAGCTTGAACTATAATGTGTTTTAGTGCAACAAAAAAGAACCTGATAGACATAAAACTGTAATGAGTGGATCAGCAGAAACAAACAGCAAGACGGATAAGTAAGAAAACAGCAGATGTGAGACAGATGAACAATAAAGAACAGCAGAAATACACAGGCAGACAGAAGAACAAAATAAAACTGCAGTCACATTGATAGCAAAAGAAAACAGAGTGAAACAGTGGTTATGATGTCTAGGGATCAAGGGCAAAAAAGTGCCCAATTCATTCTGATGGTATATTACAGTAGATAATGACCCGCTGTAAGTATTATAGGTACTTTAAATATATCCCATAAAATGTGTTGACATTGAGACATTCACACATGAAGTTGTTTGAATGGGGTAATTATAAAATATAAACTACACCAAAATTAATTTAATGCAGTTTAATTTAAATTACATTTACTAGATAATTCAATTCTAGAGTTTACATTTTCTTGGAGCATATGCCTTGTTAAGCTGTGAAGGTCAGCTTTTCTCCAGGGTGTCACAACTTTTATACTCATTATCTTCAAATATATATATCTTCTGCCATAGCAGGACCTTGCTGTCATAAGCTTAAGACATTTTATTTATTTTTAGCTCTTCAAGAGACATCACAGTTTTCATAGTTTTTCATCTATAATCTTTACCTGTTCATCATAGAGGCATGTCTGTGGTGTCATCTGAGCTGAACACTGAACACAAAACTAATTAGTGCCTACAAGTTCATTTAGTTTTAACATCATTGTGTGTGTATACATGCTCTAAATGTATGTTCTCACTCTTTAAACATTCATACCCTGTTAATTAAGCTTGCTAATCTTCCCCTGGCAGTAGCATCATGTACCTTGCTGATTGAATTAATTGTGAGAAGATGTTTCTAAAGTAAACGCTTAATTTAATTAACGTGGTATTTTATGCTTGGTTTGCTTCCGTTAGCCCAGAGAGATTGGCTTGATGTGTTTTAGCTATGCAATGATGTGATGATTTGTATGTGTGTACACGCTCAGGCAGTCCCTTCACTGATTACTCCTTTTCTCCATCCGCAGCATCTGGCAGCCAACTGGAAACACATCCAGTCCTCCAAGAGGACCATTATCCACATCCCTTCATTAGGTAGCTTTCTCTGCCTTGTACACACACACCCACACACATACATCTGATCTAGCAGCAGTCATCCCGTCTCACCACTCTGCTGCCCCAGTCTGTGGCCCTGGTGGAGGCACTCCGTTTCGTTCAAATGACTCTCTGCAGGAAAGCACTCACAGGATGATGACAGTCCCCATACCAGGGAACTGAACAATTTAGTCTCAATTGCCATTTAATTTGCAGATTAAGCAAATGAAAAGCCATTATGCTGAATATTTGCAAGAGGCACAAAGGTCTTTTTTTGTGCTGTGCAAAAACACACACAAAAGAGGAAAAAGTTGCTATGTTTTACTGGATATTGAATGCAAGCTATGATTTGTTCTTGTTCTAATTTCACCATGGCACTCACATTTAGACTGTAATCAGGCATGTGCATTGTAAATCATTGAGCGATTGTCTAAAATTATTAAGGCTAATTACTAGCAGATGGAATGCTTTATTTGCACTTGGGGTGGCTACAGAGAGTGCTGTGTGAGCAAGGATAATTAGAAAGTTGAACCCCATTGTTGTTAATTAGCATGAATCCAATCATTTAATTACCTTGATTCAGTTGAGGATTCTCTCTCAGGCAGAAATCCAGACAGACATAGAGTACCATCCTGGAGATATCACTGAATGTGGCTCAGTGGTGGCTGGACATGGTGCAGCAGGACCCCTAGCACATGACAGACACAGCACCTGCTAGTTATTAAGTTAAATTAATCATTACAATAAACTACTGTGTGATCAGCCTTAACTGCCTCACCCCGTAGTACCAGCTACATCTGAGGGTACTTGTACAGAACTACAGATTTTGAATAAAGCCAATTAAAGAAGTTTGAATCTGTCCTTGAAAGTTTTGTGCAAATTATTTTGACTTTGTTCCGACAGGATATTCTCAGAGCCAGCGACTGAACTTGAGGGGATTTGACATCCTACAGAATATCCAAATAAGCAGACTGTGTGATGTTAGAGGTGAGCGCTTTTTCAGCCTCACCACCATAAATACACACAGTGACTTTCTCTGTATGCTTTACTGTAAACATGCACTTTGTGAAGTCCACTTTTTTATATTTAGATGAAAATGTGGAGGTGATCTATGTGTGCCCCCGACATCTGGGGGAGGACATCTTGCACTATTACACCAGCCTCCTGAGGTGTGATGGAGCCACAGATGGGTTTGGTAGACGCTTTATTATCCTTACACCTGAGGCTCTAGATTATTTCCCGGTAAGGTCAATCACATTTGTTTGTGCGCAAATGTAAATATTCAAGAAAGAACTTGAAAATACAGAATCTTAGAATAGTAGTGAAACTGATGGTATTATGTTGTAGAGGTGCTACAAGCATCTGTAGTTGGTGAATTCTCCTCTAGAGGGTACTAGAGGCGATTATTACCACACACTTGTCATCTGAGAACTTCACACTTTATAATATTTTTATCCCCTTTTACTACTGTTGAAATTAAACATCAGTGTTATTTTAAAGTCTATACACTGGAGCTAAATTAAGTTATACTTAATTAAAATACATGGTCTTTAGTTGGTGTTCAGTAAATAATTAAATTCCACATTAGGTGATTTAAATAACTGTTTATTCCAAATTACTGCTGCAGTTTTGAAATACTAAATTGTTTTGATTACGTCATTGCAATAAATCAAGGTGTTTTTATATTGTCTTTTTACATGCACTCATTCTGCCTATCTTTTTAGATAATTTTGCACTAGGTTGAATGTGCAACATAACATGGTCTTCTTCATTTCTTTCCATTGATTTTCCTGCTGTTTTGTTGTTAAACTGTGCCAGACATGTTGCTGAAATGAATCACTGCTACCCATGGCTGGCAGCGCATTCTGCCAGTGACAGAAGGGATAATTCCATGTGGATCAAATAAATACAGATGTGAAGTAATTAGTTGTATTCCCAAGGAGCTCATTGCTAGCACACAATAAAGATGTGAAGGATAGAGGAAGCGTCCCACAGGCAGCTTTTATCAATTCAACCTGCTGGAATCCAGGAGAGGTCAAAGCCCTACTGGCTATTACAATAATAGATCTGTTGTGTGTATACAGTGATAAATCAGGTCAAGAAACAACCCTTGGAAGAAACACTGAGAACTCTTAGCTCCTGCAGTAATATTTCCCCCCTCTTTTCTTCTAGACTTATAACATGTGCCTGTCTACGCTGCTCAAGTACAGTCCACGCACCCTCAGACGCATCAGGAACCTGATTCAGGGTAAGCAGGCCTATATCGTGGGTGGAATGGCCCATGTGGATGATCTGGCAGTGGCAGATGAGCTGGGAGTGCCAATCCTGGGTCCAGAACCGGCCATTGCACAGCTTTATAGCACAAAGTCTGGAGGGAGGAGGATCTTCACCGCGGCAGAGGTTGATTTACCTCCTGGTCAAGGCGACATCTTCTCACTAAACCAGGTCAGAGATTAAACACAAATGCATATACCAACTCTATTACAAGTGAGGTACTTCACTAGTACCTGATAACATAAAAGAACACATTTTCAGTTTCAACCTTTACTTGTAGTAATTTATATTACGTGGTTTGTAATTCACGTTTTTCTTTTGATTTTGATTAGCTTCATGAAACACTGGCTGAGCTTATGACTCAAAACATTCATGTACAGCGCTGGCTTTTCAAGATGGACTCTGAGCATGGTGGCCGTGGTATTGCATACTGTGATATATGCCATCTTAACTGCTATAATTGGGCCCTGCAGGAGTACCATCGTTATGGTCCTGAGCTATGGAACACAAAATGGATTCAGGTAAAGATGTGACTTAAGGGACTACTGTATGTCATTCCCTCCCTGCCATAAACTATATGAACACTTCTTATAATACATTTTATACACTTACTTTTATACAATGTTTTATTGAATTTGCTTGAATTTTAGGTTTGTGTTTTCATTTTTTCTTTATTTTCTTTATTACTTCTCCCTAAATTGATGTTTTTTTTACTATTATGTCTTGTTTTTATGGCTCCCTCCAAAGTACTGGTTTTAGAAAAGTGCAATACAAATAAAGTTTATTGCTATTATTATTACACTCATACCAATGAGGAATCAGCCATTTAAAGTTAACATGGTAACAACTAGATACTTAACAGATAACATTACAGTAACAGCTAGATATTAAAATGGCAATTGTGCTCCTTGTTGAAATGAGACAGCTCAAAAAGGGTTAGATTCACTTCTGTCACTGAATGAACAAAAGCATGGGTCACAGTAGGGTCAGAGAGATCACTTAGCTTAGAGATGGGTATCTTAACGTAACTGTCACAGTGCTGGTCCCTGTAGTACAGTAATTTGAGCATTGTCCCCAGAACCACAAAACATTAAATTACTACATAAAATAACTGTTTATACACACAGCCTTTATTCATTATCTTAGGCACATACTGTACATCAACTAGTGTTGGCATGTTGGGAAGAACAAACGCTCGTCCAGTTGTAGTAATGCCCTACCTCACTGGCAGTGACAGTTAAATGACATGCATATATATATTTTAAAGATTATCCTGCAGATTAATACCAGAAAGATTCACACCTAATTCCATTTGTATTACAAATGTCTTTAAAGTATATTAATGTGCAGATGACACTAAACACTTTAAGTCTGAGTTACAGTTAAAGTTGATGCTTTGATCTGCTCTGCTCAGTTGCTCTTCCTGAGGTTTTCTTTTTCCTATCCGAGCGTGTAAGGACATAGGGTGTTCTAAAGCCCCACTGAGGCAAAATATGATTTATATTAGGTTATATAAATAAAATTTGACATGTTTGGACATGACTGTTTTAATATAACAACACCATGCATTCTTTCTGTCCAAGACACTCACTCGATTTGTGAAGAGAACATTATTGTACAAATACGTTATCAACGTTTGCTTTCTCCTCAACACATAAATTCAGATTTAATCTTTAATCAGATTTAATCCTATTCAAAACAAATAAAATAGTTTTAATCATTGGTAAACCATTCATTTAGTATAGATGCAATCTGTACACAGCTTCTGAGCCCCTGGCTCCTATTTCTCATATGCTTACAAAGTAGCCTTTGATTTTCTGTCATGTGTTAATTACCGTATTTTGCCATTTAACTGGGAGCTTTGTGTAAACTAATTACAGGCTAATGATTGTGGGCTTGGAGCACAATGATTTTACTTTTTATTCCATTTGAAAGAACAGCAGTCATCCCAAGCTTCTTATGGCTCACTCTGTTTTGTTCCTATTAGCTCATTCTTTGATTCACAGTGTATGTGCAGTGCGGGGCTGTAATTGTTGTGGCATTGGTGCTGTTAATTATGGCAGAGAGTGGCTGAGCCAGAGCCAAGGTCCATAATGGTGGCTGAGGCAGCACAGGAAAGTAAATGGGGTTTGTTTCACCAGCTGGGGTCCCATGGAGAGGGAAGAGTGCCGGGGCCCCCAGTGTAGGCCGACAGCCTTAGGGCTTCTGGGCCATATGGACACAACACTTTAACTGGCCTTTATTCTACACCTTGCTCTTTTAATCAAAGCAAAACCCACATCCTGTGCTCCTCATTGCATGTTTTTTTGTTATGACACTGTTTTCCCCAAAAATGTACTAGCCCCTTAAATGTATTCCATCGTCCTTCTGTTGTTGTACTAGTGTATATTGAAGATAGTAATTTAGCTCTATATGCTGAAGGATTACAGAACAGTGTTGTTGATTATGTACACACATATAAATATTTTATTCCAGAGTATCTCCTCTTTGCCATCTCCTCACAGCAGAAATTGTAGATGGATGTTTCAACATGGCAGTATATTTTGAGATATAGCGCTCATTAATGTAGCACTTTGCTGAAAAGAAGTAGACCTAATTGCAGTGCTGACAGCCAGTGAATAGGATAGATATTTGCAATACTGAATATTTGCAAGCATTTAAGCATTTGGTTAATATACGTTTAAAGCTAGGTTTATGAAAATTGCAACAATTTCATTAATTATTGATGAAATACAAATGATCAAATGAAGCACTTTAAATATTAATTCATAATTTAACAGTTCTTCACAAGATGGTTGTTTACCAAAAAAAAGAAAAAGAAGTGATGATTAAAGTGTATAATATAAATTTTACAATTCAGTGGAATGCCTCACGTTCTTTATAATCAGTGTAAAGGTAGAGAGGTGATTAGAGAGTATGTTTGGTCTTAGCCTACATAAACTGTATGCATTTCTTTTTTAATTATTGTTCTGATGGCTCAGCATGAAGAAGCCTGACACCAGAATACCATGTGGTCAACAATCAGATCCCTTCTAGCCACGCAAAAGAAAGCCCAAAAGGCTACAACAATGAGGACAAGGGGGGATCACAACTATACTAGAGTAGCTTCCAAAGAGGTCTAGCAGATAGTGTGCTTTTCTAAATATTGTGAGGCACACAGCCTCCAGCACAGTGTTTCAGCTTGCAGAAAGCCCCTAGGTCTTTTTAGAATTTACACAGAGAGAGGTTAAAGACATGTAGATCTGCACCCATGCAATGCCTGAAGGGGGTCATACACACACTTAAGCGCTCACACAGCCTGCATATGGATCATTAGGCACAAGAGGGTAAAAATTACACCTAATGGCGTCAACAGATGGAGTACTTCTTTTTGTCATGCTGTGTACAAACAGATCTTGAGCAGCACCTTATTTAGGTTAAGGCTGTCAACGAAATGGGTCGTTTGATAATCACTACCACTGAAGAGGTAGAGGGACATTTTATACAGATGTTTTCTGTCTAAATATTGGGTAAGCTTTGTTTGCATGAAGGGGTTTAAATAGCTAAGGTTTAGCTTTAACGTAATTAACCTAAATTTACCTTGTGAAGACTTTTAGTGGTTCTGTTAGTTTCACAAATGCTTGTTGTTCTTTAAGCAGAGGAAATATGCGGTCCCTATACTATTATGTTAAATTTAACCAGGTATAAGAACAAGTAAGTAACTCAATGTTCCTTTTATTATTAAGCCTACACATGAAATTAGCCATGGCTGTAGTAGATTAAGGTTGAAGCTTTGGTTGGTCAGTGTTTCAGAAAATTATTCTTCATACAAAAAGTATGACTAGTCAGATTATATCCTTCTATTCCCAAAGCTTACTGTAGTTTCTCAGTTGTTTTACTATGTAATGGAGAGATGAAATGGCAATCAAAGAGGCAGGGCAGCATCTGTTTTATTTATGACCAGATTGTATGGCTTTATGTGGACACCAAGCAAAGCTTGAATCCTATCACGGGGCACTGTACGCAGTTTAAGTCCAAATAATTTATTGCAAAATACCTCTCTTTATTTTTTTTCCTGTCCTGCTGTTTCTGTGAACTGCATAGGCAAAGTCCTGGGGTGAGCTTGCTCTTCCGTTGAAAATGACAACCGTTCCCTTACACTTTTTGCCGCACCATTGTGTACTTTATGGTTTGTATAGGGGGAATCACTGTGTAGCATTTGACCTCGCCTCTTACAGTACTTGAATATGATGATGGCTGTTACATGACTGGAATATCAACAGCAAAACCTTCAGTCCTGTTACCAGTGAAACCACACAGCATATACTCAAAACAAAGTAATGCTCAAAATAGAACAATGAAAAAACACTTTACTTTTATTCAGAATTTAATCACAAGGAGTTTTCACGTATTTTAATGCATACAAGTAAATTAAATTCCTGTTTAATACTCATACAAGATATTATTACATATGGAACACTGTATTTGTACTTTTTATACAGTCAACATAGGCATTTAGTTGTCGTTTTATAATTTGATATATAAGGTATAAAATGACAACTAAAGGTTCAGTAGAGGCATTCTTATTACTTTAACTACAGTGTATTGAAGTGTTATCAAAGAACACAGTGTGTTTGAGATACCAAACTGTTTGAGACACTGAAAACAAAAGTTAGAATTTAACAGCATCATTAAGCGGTGAAACCATTATGGCATTTCCTAGTTACAGAAACGAGTGATGTCGATCCCAGTCAAACCCAGATTGATCCCCAGATAGATGGGTTAGCTTAGGTATTCATCAGCTGCCTAGTGGAGAGAGTTGTTATTGAGGGCAGGTGCTGTCTCCGTGGCTGTGAGTTAAAGCCATTAGACTCCTGAGGCCTTCTGATAATAGGCTGTCACTCACAGATAGACCCTCCTGCAGTATCCATCAGACACTCGTGCAGAAATTGAAGCAGCCACCAAAGGTCTCAAGGATAACAAGCAGTCACTGGAGTCAAGGGCATTTCCAAGAATGTAGTCAACACTTACAAAGCTTTAACAATGGGGAAAAATAAAATTGCCAGGACTTGTTATTGACTTTGTTTGCATAAATGAACATGCATAATGTCCTGAGATCTGTCATCAACTCATTTTCAATAGATCCCTAATGTATTTACCTAAACTTTTTTTTCTGCAGGAGTCTGTATTGCCCAGGTATTTAGATGAGATCCCAGAGTGGCTGGCCCGTCATGCCCGGCCTACTAAAACCTCCTGCTATCCCAACTGGACTTGCTTCCTGAAGACCTTCCTCAGGCAAGGTCAGATGCCTATTGTCAGGCACTGAATGCAATTCACCTGCAAATATACCAGTTTGAATATGCTAACAGTCATTTTCTGTCCTTTGTAGTTCTCATATATTGCCGATGTGAACTGAAAAATTAAATGGTTTTTATGTTACTTGGCTGTTAAACAGATGCTAGAGGAATTTCAGGTGCTGTATAACAGGTTTGTACTGTTCTCTTCTCTCACTCTGTGTCTAGGTGGTGTGGTGGAGGCCTACCCCCCTTCAGACAGTATCACCTGTCTGACAGTAGATCTGCTGCTGGTGCCTGAGGTTGAGGTGACCATGTTGTCCTGTGGAGACCAGCTTCATGGCTCCTGTCAACTGGAAACTATAGGCTCTACTGTTCCCCAGACCTCTGTACACCCAGAGACCTTGCACTCCATCTGCATGCGTGTCGGCCAGGCCTGTCTGCAGCGCCTTATCATAGGCTATGTCTCTGTGGACCTTGCTACCTTTCTGAACCACAACACCATGGAGCAGAAGGTAAGACAGCTGGGGCAAGAGAAGGCTTTAGCTCATGCGACCAGGATAAATAATATGGTCTGGGCTGTTGCAACACATGGCATCAAAGCTGTCAGTTTCCCCACACTATTGAAATACAGTAGATCAATTTATAGGCTGGATCAAAGATCCATATAAGCAGATAGGTACCTTCCATACTGTTCCCCAGGGATTTTGAAAACAGGCAAGTCAAACACTGGACACAGGGATCAAATGTGTGACAAGGTCATCTAATAAACTGTCAGGTCTTATTGTGTTGATACACTGATTCCACCATTTAAGGCTTGCCCTTTAACCTTACACTGCTGAGAAATTTAGAGGCACCTATCTTTCAGACAATAGGTCACTCTAAAGTGATTTGGCAGCTTCATGGGGATGCCCTGTCACTGTTTAACCCCTGCCTGGTTACCTGCAGTGGTCTGCTGAAATTCATCTTGTTATTATAGAAGACACAAAGCCTTACCTCATTTGTAAGGATTACGTTTTGCTGAAACCTTTTTGATTTATGATATTGGAAATGGACTGGTTTATGATGGTTTAACCTCTGGCCCTACCATCTGGCTACATTGACTGCCTATTGATCCAGAGCTGTAAAATAAAATGGTCTGTTTATAATATGGTCTATAAAATACTAAGCCTGTAAAATAGTACAGAAAGCACTGGAGTTTTACTAGGGGGCTTGAAAAAAGACATTGAACGCTATCAGATGTTTTTTTTTTTTCTTCTTTCATTAAAAATCCACCAGATAGCAATACACCATTTGTCATCTACCTCCTTAGGATGGATTTTCTTAATAAATCTCCTATATTTGTTTGTCTCTTCACTGTCTAGCTTTATTTAGGCTTGCATTCATAATGGATTCCCCATAAAAATCTGTAGAGTGGATATGAGCCAAGGGCACACTTACCACTAGAGGGTAGTATCTTATGGATTAGGTGTTACACATTGTGTCAAAGCAATGTTCAAATAATGCAGTTTGTGTCTTAAAACTTTAAATATTTTGTAATTAACAGAATTTATGTCAGGTTTATTTTTGTCAGCAGAATTGTACTTATTTGGACTATGTAGTTCACCACATTACATTGATTTGAGGTTAAACAACATATGTGGTTCATAGTATTTTTTGCATTTTAGATGTAAAATGAAATATGCTATTTCACATACTGTATATATTAGGGACACAAGCTGAAGTTTTTCATAACTGCTTAGAATGATATAATGACAGTCTTAAAATTAATATTCAATTTCAGTGTTGACCTGAAATCAAATGTGATTCACTGACAGCATAATTAAGAATAGACTATAAACAGCATGTGCTTCAATAGAGGCGGGAGCAGTGTTAACCATCCCCCCCACCCCCCACACCCAGCTCAGACAGAAGAGAGCCACATGGGCAAACCTGTCTGGATTTAAACATCAATTTAGATTCAAACCTGTTGCTAAAAGCTGCCTACTTTGTGTGATGGGAAGAAATGGGTCACATATGTTTGCCCTTGCAGTCTTTCCTCACATTGTGGAACGGTGGGGCCCCAGCTGCAGCATCAGGGCTTTTAATGAAAATGCAAGGCAATAGAAAACAGGTACAATCCAGGCTTACATTTCCCACGGCTTTGTTAAGAGCGACAATGGGACATTGGAGTATGATTTTTAGTGAGTCGAGTGAATGGCTCGGCAGAGTGTGTCTATCAGTCAGGCCCAAGTATCAACCTGATGCATAGAGACTTGCATCTATCCAGTGGTAGCTACTGTACCCCCTGCAGTAAAGGTGACTGAGTGCTGAATCTTGTTCACTATGAATGTACACAGCTTGCAGCTGTTTTGATTGTTTTGACATGTACTGTTTAGAACACTTCATGCATTCTTTTTCATGTCATTATTGTGTAGATTCAAAATGTTGAAATTATAATATTAACTCCAACAATTTTCGCTTATTGAAAACTGATCTATATTAAAAACACTGTAGTTCCATGCATAACTTCTGCCCTATAAATTGGGTTACAAGTTGCTTGATTCTAACATAATGAAAAACATCTTTTCACTATGATATTTTAATATATTATTTGGGGTGTTTCTTCAAGCGGTTAACTGTTGTAAAGTAATTGTTGTATGACAGCCCCTTAAAAATTCATACATTTGTCTTGTTTTGAACTTGATTATCACAACACAAATACTCAGCAACAGTTATAATAATTGGTTAATTATTTTGATTATTTTCCAAACAAAAATGCCAAACAGTTTCTCAAATGTGAAAATATTCAGATTTTCTGGGCTTTTTGCTAATTTTTGATAATTCATTGAAAAAATCTTTAATTGATACTGTTGTACCCGGTACTTTTTACCATACGGACTCTGAGAGACGAGACAGTCCAAGTAACTTCAAAACAGTGCTGATTTATTCAGAGGATCACAGGTAAAATTAACATTACACGCTCAGGTATCTTGCACCTC